TTGTTACATATTCTTGTATTGAGAACTAAACATAGATTGTTCTGTGGTATATCTTACGTAGACCCCTTTAACTATTCTTATGTTTGGCCTATTTGTTAAAGGGAGAGTACTAAATTTCTATACTTACTGACATTGTAGTAAGTTGTAAATTTTGAGTGGATTCTTGTTACTGATAGGAGAAATTGAATTGGGCATTTAGTATTTTCTATTTTGAATTTACTAAGTAGTCTGTTGTATACCTTTTGCTGCTTTAGGCTAACTTATATTGATGTTGTGTATAGTTAGCCAGTGTGCAATTTTTTGTTGTTATTTATTAAATCATTTTTTGTGAGAAACTATTTCATGTGTGTTTGGTCATACACCTCCCTTGCACTAGTAAATATCGGTGAAGCTGTCCATGCCATAACCCGAACCTGTGTTATAAATTTGTCTGCTTCGAGTGCCTCTACTGTGACGTTAGGGAGACCCGTTGTCACTGGTTACCAGGGTCACTGAGAGAGGGCTTACATGCAGTTGGGACATTATCTGTAGTTGGGACATTATCTGCATTTGGGACATTATCTGTACTTGGGACAATATCTGCAGTTGGGACATTATCTGAAGTTGGGCCATTATCTGCAGTTGGGCCATTATATGTAGTTGGGACATTATCTGCATTTGGGACATTATCTGTAGTTGGGACATTATCTGCAGTTGGGCCATTATCTGCAGATGGGACATTATCTGTAGTTGGGACACTATCTGCATTTAGAACATTATCTGCAGTTGGGCCATTATCTGCAGTTGGGACATTATCTTTAGTTGGGACAATATCTGCATTTAGTACATTATCTGCAGTTGGGCCATTATCTGCAGTTGGGACATTATGTGTAGTTGGGACATTATCTGCAGTTGGGATATTATCTGTAGTTGGGACATTATCTGCATTTGGAACATTATCTGCAGTTGGGCCATTATCTGCAGTTGGGATATTATCTGCAGTTGGGACATTATCTGCAGTTGAGACATTATCTGTAGTTGGGACATTATCTGTAGTTGGGACATTATCTGTAGTTGGGACATTATCTGCAATTGGGACATTATCTGAAGTTGGGCCATTATCTGCAGTTGGGCCATTATATGTAGTTGAGACATTATCTGCATTTGGGACATTATCTGTAGTTGGGACATTATCTGCAGTTGGGCCATTATCTGCAGTTGAGACATTATCTGTAGTTGGGACACTATCTGCATTTAGAACATTATCTGCAGTTGGGCCATTATCTGCAGTTGGGACATTATGTGTAGTTGGGACATTATCTGCAGTTGGGATATTATCTGTAGTTGGGACATTATCTGCATTTGGGACATTATCTGCAGTTGGGCCATTATCTGCAGTTGGGACATTATCTGAAGTTGGGCCATTGTCTGCAGTTGGGCCATTATCTGCAGTTGAGACATTATCTGTAGTTGGGACATTATCTGTAGTTGGGATATTATCTGTAGTTGGGACATTATCTGCAGTTGGGACATTATCTGTAGTTGGGACATTATCTGTAGTTGGGACATTATCTGCATTTGGGACATTATCTGCAGTTGGGCCATTATCTGCAGTTGGGACATTATCTGAAGTTGGGCCATTATCTGCAGTTGGGCCATTATCTGCAGTTGGGACATTATCTGTAGTTGGGACATTATCTGCATTTGGGACATTATCTGCATTTGGGACATTATCTGAAGTTGGGACATTATCTGCAGTTGGGACATTATCTGCATTTGGGACATTGTCTGCAGTTGGGACATTATCTGCATTTGGGATATTGTCTGCAGTTGGGACATTATCTGCAGTTGGGACATTATCTGTAGTTGGGACATTATCTGTAGTTGGGACATTATCTGCATTTGGGACATTGTCTGCAGTTGGGACATTATCTGTAGTTGGGACATTATCTGTAGTTGGGACATTATCTGCAGTAGGGACATTATCTGTAGTTGGGACATTATCTGTAGTTGGGACATTATCTGTAGTTGGGACATTATCTGCATTTGGGACATTGTCTGCAGTTGGGACATTATCTGCAGTTGGGACATTATCTGTAGTTGGGACATTATCTGTAGTTGGGACATTATCTGCAGTAGGGACATTATCTGCATTTGGGACATTGTCTGCAGTTGGGACATTATCTGCAGTTGGGACATTATCTGTAGTTGGGACATTATCTGTAGCTGGGACATTATCTGCATTTGGGACATTGTCTGCAGTTGGGACATTATCTGCAGTTGGGACATTATCTGTAGTTGGGACATTATCTGCATTTGGGACATTATCTGTAGTTGGGACATTATCTGCAGTAGGGACATTATCTGTAGTTGGGACATTATCTGTAGTTGGGACATTATCTGCATTTGGCACATTATCTATAGTTGGGACATTGTCTGCAAGTCAGAACAAAGAAAAATCTACAAATACCTACCAACTGTTATTGTGTAAATAGAATTAGCATAACCATCAAAGTTACAGTTGTCTTCATAGCGACCACCATTGCCACTAGCAACAACAAAGATATTTCCATATCCTTTACGTCCAGCAGAAACCCCATGTTGTAATGCTGCCTGCAAAATGGAATGAAAATCAGGTGATCGTCAAATATTTGTACTCCTGGGATCGAGATAAGATAAGCGTAAGATATGATGGTTTAGCTGACTCATCAAGTATCATATCGCTAAAGCATTCTGCACCACTCTCGCTGCAGTGTGTCTGTAAACAAACCAAGTGTTTTACACATGTTGATATTTTAGCTGGAATTAATTTTCGCTGAATAGACTATTGGGGAATTTATTTTCACCAGTTTTTGAGGAGTTGAATGTAAAATATAGGAAAAAAGGTATATATTCGTTGGATTTTATTTTCAGTGAAATAATCATTCAGCAAAAATAAAGTATTCCACAGTAAGCAGCAAGGGAACCATATTAAACAGAATTTGGTGAAACAACTTTAAAACATTTATAATGACATCCATTTTTATCTTTTCTGGGAAATAATACAAGTAATAAGATTTGGCTTCTCAAAATATTTCATCAATTACATGCCCTTCAAATATCTAAAATTACGAATAGAACCATAGATGTTTGAATAACAGCAGCTTGACTGTGAATAGCTTATTTATAGTTGTTATTAAGTAATTTCAGATTAACACATCGCCGACTAAAAGCCCCCACAGTGTCAGCAGGCAATCAAGTCATATTAGGGCCACTTAGGTCAGCTGATGTTGTGTTCTACAAAATTATTCTATTTTGCCACAATGAAATATTTGAAAAAAAATATGAAAATTGTTGGATTTCTAATGAACATTCTAAGCTCTATATTATTCAAATGTAAACATCAAAGTCATCAAAACAGGCAGGAGTAAAAAAAAAAAAAAGTTATTAATAAAACATTACAGTAAATCTTTTTTTTTGTTTGCTGTTATTATGTTGTGTAGGTGATTGGCTGACGACTGTATGTAGGCAGTATTTATGTAAAATTCAAGGCTATGTAAGGTCATGGTCGCCAAAGACTATAAAATAATAAATAAAACATGTCTTTTTAGCTACCATGTTAGTTTAGCTAATTTAGCTAATCTGTAATTTCCCTAGTGCAAGATGTCGCTTATTTAAAATACGATTTTTAGCACTTTTTCGCTAAATTAAGATCATGTAGCCATTTTAAAAGTGTTTTACAGTATAATATGATGTTGATGTCATACCTTTGCCAATGGATGAGGTCCATCTACAGTCTCTCCATCATCATCTGGACCCCAACTAAATAAATAAACAAACAAATAATGTTATTAAATCAATACAATCGGTAGCAAAAAAAAAATATATTTTGAATTTGTAAATTTCAACTTGTTCAAAGCATCTATATGCAATTTATGACAGTGTAGTGATGTTGTTTGAAAAACAAATAACCAACAATCAAACAAGAAGCGTTTTTCCAAAATCTCGACAGAACAGACAAGAATGTATTTCCCATATCCTTATATTCCAGCAATAGAGAAGAATATGGATACTGTAAAACCATTAATTTTCACTAGTATTTAATTTTGATATAAATTCACATGGAGAAAGAAATAAGAATTATAATTTTTCATGTGAATTGAATTCAGAGAATTTCACTATAAGTGAAAACAGCAAAATTAAAAACCATTGATAATAAATAATTACATTTATGGTACACTAATGACCCTTACCTACAACTGTATATATCATTAATCTGCATAAATTTATTGAAAGCTGTGGCTTCTAAACTATCAGTCATTGGACCATCTAAAGCACGTATACCTGTAAAAACACACACCAGACAGTGATTATCTAAATGGATTGAGATTCCGGAAGAGAGAGTACAGAGTAAATCACATCACCTAGCTCGTCTGCAAGTTATATGCTCTATATAAGTCATGGAAAGATAGTTGGTTTCCATTTACTGTTAAAAGGCACAGACCAAATATCTGCTGCAAAAATATATCACCGTAAAATCTCTAAAATTTCGACCACTTTTAAATGAAAAACGGTCAGGTTTTTAGAGTACAAAATAACGATAAATTTACAGCCAGTGAAATTTTTTAGAGTAAAAATTCAACAAATATAAAAGTTGGGTTATATACAGTTGGAGAAATAGAATAATTAAAGAAAGTCATGTCTATAAACAAAATTGTTTGAGTAAAGATAAGTGAGCAATTTCTGGTGAGGTCAAAATTTTGGAGGTCAATACATTACAAAAATTTGCCAAATAACTAGGTGGTTGAGTTTTAGAGTAGGTGAAATTTTACGGTAATTTGATTACTTTCAAAAAGCAAATGTGGCATCGACATACAATTACTTATAAACAAAATTAAACATTGAATTATTAAGCATAACAAATAAATAATACTGTGTTTGTTGAATTCCACACAAAGTTTTGATGTAACTATGTCACTATGACCTTTGTTATGTCCAGTTTTTACACTCAAATTTCAAGCATACCGGTAATATGAAAACAGGTAGTGAATTGGAAATTGGTCTTTCACATCATCTGAGAGAAATTCTTTATGTTCTTAGCATCAAATCACTACACAGCTTACCAGAGTAGCTGCTGTCATTGCACCATCCTTGTCATGTTTACGCCAGGGAGGGGTGTCTAAGGT